TTAGTTTTTTGGGGAATCTGATTTTCACAGTGAAAATTTGTACTCCTAAGCATTACAATGGACGTTTCCTTTCTTCTGTACAACCTAAACAGTATTTATTAGTTGATTTTTTTTTTTTTTACATTTTAACTTCATTTATTTTCTTTTTTAAATCAGTCTCTCTCTTTTTTAAAATTTTTTTCCCGTAATTTTATTGAGAGACAAATTGCAATATGACAGTTTTATATCAAATTGATATGACAGTTTCAATAATTAACACATTGCATTATATTCTCATTCTTGACATATTTTGTACAGGGTCTACTGCTTAGTCATCTAATACATATTTGGAAGGCTTTCAAACAGATTTGAATTAAGTTTGGTTCACTTGAGACAAATGCTTTTTTGTCATGTTGCCAGTTAACCAGCCTGGATCATATAGGAGACAAGTATATTTTGGCTATAGTAGTTGAAAATAGAAAATTGGAAGAATGATTTCATTCTAAGGTCTCTTTTGTACTAAGCCATATCTTATTACTTACTTGCTTCTTAAGAAATTGAGATGAATTTTACTTGACATAATTGGGTGTGGAATTTGAAAAATGAGAGTTGGGGCCCATTGTGTTTCTGTAACATTGAGAGTATGGCCATGAAGACCTGAGTATTGGTTAAGCATATACATCTTGCTGACCCTATATTCTGCCTCACTATTTTTTCTTTTTGAATTTATTTTATTCTGTATTACTGAAAAACATTTTGTAGTTCAGAGTAAAAGCTATACAACAAGCAGATAGGGAGAAGTCTAGCTTCTTTCAAGCCTGTCTTCCATTGTTTTCTTCCTCCCCTGCAGGTAATCATTGTTATGGCTGATACTTTTTTTCTAAAAATACAAGTACATACACATTTATCATCTCCTTTACTTAAAATATTTTGGGCTGGCCAGATAGCTCAGTGGACTAACATGCCTGCTTAGGCAGAGTGCAGGGGCTGGGGTTTGATCAGGCCCCACGCCTGGGGCACACTGAGACAGCAATTGAGACTGGCATGCTGGCATGCGCCTGTAATTCCAGCACTTTGGAGGCTGAAAACGAGAATCACTACGAGTCTGATCTGCAGTGAGACCCTGTAGACCCTGTACTAAATACATTTAAAAGAAAATATTATTTACATTGTTCCATGTCTTGTTTTCACTCTTCAGTGTAAGAAGTGTGATAGAAATATAGTACAGTGAATGTCTAAATAAAAAAAAGTTGTTATGGTAAGACACATTGCTGTTAATCTCCTTCAACCACATTTATCCCATAGTTCTGGCTACTTCCTGAAGCAATTCTGGAAGTCCCCTTTTGAATTTTTATTAGATGTGATAAAAAATGCTGAATGCTGCTACAGAGTGCCATCCAACACAAAGGTAGATATCTTGGTTACTTTTCTCTTGCTAAGACAAAATACTGAACACTCAAAGTTTAATTTATTCAGCTCAGTTTATAGAGGTTTCAGTTCATAGTCTGGATCCAAGGCAGAGTGGCATGGCAGAGGGGCATCATAGAGAAGAAACAGTCCATGGCAAGCAGGGCAGGCAGAAGGCAGCCAGCAGAGAAGTAGTAAAGTAGCAGCAATGAAATGGCAGAAGCTGCCTTTGTATTCTATCCAGGCTTTAGGCCTATCGATTGATGCCACCCACACCCAAGGGAGAACATCCTTAATCCTAACATCACATACCCTAGATCCAGCGACCTGCAAAAAGCCCCACCTATGACCCCATGAGACTTTGGGGGCACATTTAGACAGAAGCCAAAACATGCTAATAAAACTTTATGGTGTATCCTCATCCAGTGGATCCAGCACCTTGTAATTTCTGGCTCTTCCTTAAAGTCAAAGTGATCATGACTGTTAAATGTTTTGAGTCAGTCCACAGCATTGGATGCATGTCATGATAGCATAACTAAAGATTGAGAAGAGGACTTCCAGAACTGCTTCAGAAAGTGGTAAGAACAATGGTTAAGTGTATTCAAAGAAAGAATTTTGAGGGGAATTAGTGGCACTGTATCTTTTACTGTAGTAAAGATTTTTTTGAAACTTTTACTGTTTTTGATTACATCTTTTTTTGTGGTACCACGTATTGAACTCAGGACCTTGTGCTTGCCAGGCAAGCACTTATTCTACTGCTCAGTACTCAGTGTTCTCCCTGGCCCTGATTATATCTTATATACATTTTTTTATGCCATTTCACCATCTGTATAATACCTTTGCAATACTTTGCAGGTAGACATTTCATCCTGTACTGATATTTAGATGCTTCTGGTTTTTTGCTTTGCAGGGAGGTTTTTTTTTTTTTTTTTTTTTTTGTGGAACTGGGGCTTGAACTCAGGCCCTTATGCTTGCCAGGCAAGCGCTTATTTCACTGAGCCATCTCCCTCGCCCCCGCAGGGAGTATTTTGCCAGTATATTTGCAGAGTAGATTACTAGTGGTGAGATTGTGATTCAGAGGGTAAATGCAAATTGTAACTATTCATTCCTATTAATAGCATATTAGAATTTGTTTCCTTACAACTTTCTCAAGAATATGTAAGACTTGTGGGATTTTTACTAATCTGTTAGGTAAGAAATGATTATGTCAGTATAATTTTAATTACTATTTCTTTTCTAATCATTGAGATTAAATGTCTTTTCATTTGTATGGGGCCAGGGAGATAGCTCAGTAGAGTAAGTGCTTGCTTGGCAAGCGCAAGGGCCTGACTGTGTTTTGAACTGTCTTTATTATTTATGCAGATTTTTTTCAGAAAATATTTCTTGGTTGTTATTGCTGGCACTATTATTATTATTATTATTATTATTATTATTTAATTTGGTAGAGGGTCTCATTATGCAGCTTGGACTTGTAGTGATCCTCCTGTCTCAGCCTCCCAAGCGCTGGGATTATAGGCATGTACCACCATGTCCCTTTGGTGGCTAGCATGGTGTGCAGTACCAGGGATCGAACCCAGGCAGGCGCTTAAGACCACCAAGTTATCTCCCCAACCCTGATGATGCTATTTTGAATTACTGTGGACTGGAGTATTTGTCTTTAGGGGTAGTAATAACCATTGATGAAACAGTATCATTAGGCATGTATGACTTAAAGAACAGTAAAACATAAGACCCATTTCTTGATTCAGAGAAGTCAGGGACCTACTTTAGATAAAGCAGACTACTGTGTGAAAATCATAGTATTTATTTCTGTGAAATAAATGCTAATGGAGATGAATACTAAGGGTTGTGGGAGCATTGAGTCTGGGGTAGAGTGACTGGGTAAGAGGGAGGTTAAGAGAAAATCATTGCTTAGTGGATAAAGTGATACTTGGAGTGTTTAAGGAAGAGGAAAGATTGCTAGGGTTAACTCTTGAGGTAAGAGTATTAGAATCAGCTTGAGGAAGTAAGCAGAGTGGTGTCTAAGGACTCTTGGATTTCTGGTTCTGTGGGTAATGGCGAGGGCTGGTATCAAAACAGCAGCTGGACTATCTGATGATCAGGATTTGATGTAGGTCTCTTCCTCTTGCCTCTGAACCCTCTTTTATTTACAGCAGGTTAACTTTAGCAATACAAAGTTGAAAAATTTAAGAGTGTTTCTAATTTTTTTCTGAAGCACGCATCCTGTCTTGAGAATCTCCCCACATCTCATAGGTTTAGGGAAACAAGAGGTAAACTCCAAGGAATGAATAGAATGGTTTCATTCCTTCTCATTTCATTGTGGAGTAGACTTAGAGTCTTTATTTCTTTTCCATTCATCCTTGCCTAAGTTTACTTTTGGCCGAGTTCAGGGTTCCTTACGTAGTAATCTATTTCCTGTGGCTAAGGGAGAAAGATATGCCAAAGTGGGAGTGGTGTGAGGGAGTAGAGGAGGCTGGCAAAGTAGGTGAGACCTAGGCTAGCTTTGTGTTTCATTTTGAGAAATACTCATTTTATTTTAAAGTTTAGTGGAGAGCCTCTAAAAATGTGACATGGATGGACAGAGAAAGGGATTGGAGGAAGCGAATGACAAGATTAGCTTTGGATTTTTGAAAGGTAACTCAGATGATTGTGTTGAAGAAGTAGACTGGAGAAAGTACAAGGTAGGTAGAAGGCAATGATTTTCAGATTAGCAGAAGCAGTATTACCTGGGCACTTGTTAAAAAGATAGGCTTTTTCAGGCTCTACTCCAGGCCTGCTGAATCAGAAACTATGGGGTATGATGCAGCAGTCTGTGTTTTATTTGATTCTTATCATGCTAAAGTTTGAAACTAGAAATATGAAGGCCAGTAAGGACACACACACTACAGTTGGGAAAATGCTTTGCACATGAATTATATAGTTGATTTTGCTGAGATATTCATTATATATGTGTTGTACATTCATAGTCAAAAGATCTAAGAGTGTAGGATTTTATGACTTATTTTGTGAAAACTCAGTATTACAAGATTTGAAAGGCTGGGATAGTGTGCTAATGCTTTATACTTGGAAAAATGAGACACTCTAGAATCATGTGCGAAAATAGACAAATTAGAGTGGAATAAAACAAGTTAGAAAAAAAACACAAGTTAGAGGCACTTAAATCTTGAATGCTGTAGATGTTGGCTGTATGTGACATTGCTTTGTAATGTGGTACTCAGTCTGAGTTGAGAAAACTGATCGAAGAATTTATAGAAAGGAGTAACACATTCTTTTGTGGAGACCATAGGAAAGAAGGGTAGGTTCAGATATGCTTATACACTTGTTCCATGCAGCTATTAGAAGGCTGCCTCCTTTTAGTCTCTGTAGAATAACTAGCAGCTGATTTGCATCAGACCTACTTTTTACTTGCTTTGCTTTTTGAGAGTATGAGAATTGTAGGTGTAAGTTTCACCTTTGTAGAAATGGAACTGAGTACATTTGATAATCTCCCATTGTTTTCCTTTGTTATTTTTGCTGGGTGACCAAAAGAACAGATAAAGCAAATGGTATGTAAATATAAAATATGTATCTTAAAGGATAAATAATCTTTTTTTCTCCTTCAAATTTTATTCCAGGATCCATCAGTTACACAGGTGACAAGAAATGTTCCACCAGGACTTGATGAGTATAATCCATTCTCGGATTCTAGAACAGTAAGATTATTCTTAATTAGACTACTTTAAAATGTATAAGTGCAAGTTAAGTGGAAATTGTGGCTTAATTGAGCTTTAAAAATTTGATTAGTTACATTTATGTACAACAAGCTGTTAATGTTTTAGAATTTGAAGTTTTGTTGTTTTTAACATAAAAGACTCAGCGTAGTAATTGAAAATTCCCCTGTTGATCTTAGTGAGATGCTACCTACAATGGTGTGCTGGGAAGTAGGATGTATTCCTTACATACACATTGTCATTGTATAAAGTAGGCAGTGTGTTGTCACAGAGCAACTCTGGAGCTGTGTCCTGTTGTTTGTGTGGTGGCTATTTGAATCAGTCTGTTCTTTAGGATCTGTCTTTTGCCATGGTGGACTGCAACCTCTGGAGCTTTACCTGATCTAGGGAAACATATTTTTCCCCTGAAAATTTAGTCTTTTTAAACAAATTTATTAGTATATGTTTGCAGTACATAATTACCTTCACAGTAATGATACATATATCCTAATCATTTAAAATTTTTTAAAAAATTAGTACATTGTCATATATAATGATCATATTCATTATAGGAAATTTGTACCTGTACATAATATATCTTAATTTTTCTTTAGAAATACATCTTAGATATCATAATCATTTTTATTCTCCCTTCCTCTCCATCCTTTTCCCGTCTCCAGATCTCCTTTACATTTCTACAGAGTCTCCCTTCCTCTTTCCTGTCAGGTCTTTGTTTTATTTTGCTTTTTACTTATATTTTGGATTTCTTATTCAAGAAAAGCCATGTGATATTTAACCTGTGTTTAATTTATCTATCTTAGCATTATTGTCTCAAAATGCGTCCATTATCCTACAAATGATTCAAATTTATTCTTCATGGCTGAATAATACATATATATGTGTGTGTGTGTACATGTGTGTTTACACACACACAGATTATATTTATCCATTCATTTGTTTATGGACACATAGGCCACTTCAAACATTTATCTGTTACTGATTGTGCTCTTATAAGCATGGGTAGGAGTGGATCACTGTAATATGACTTTTATTTCTTTAAAGCAGATTCTTGAAAAAGGCATGTCAAATGGAATATTTAATCTTTTTGAGGAATCTCAAAAATGTAGGGGTATGAAAAAAATCTAGAACAGCAGCTTGCTGTTCTGTATGCATGTTAGTAAGAGCACATAATAAACTTTTTATGCTAGCATTCTGGTCTTGGTCTTTTACAGTTAAAGTTTATTATTTATTTATTTATTTATATATTTTTCAATATTTATTTTATTTTATTTTATTTATTCCCATAATTTTATTGATAAACAAATAGCAATGAGACAGTTTCAAATCAAATTGGTAGTACAGTTTCAATAATTAACACATTTGCATACATTCTTCCTAGTGGTTAATTGCTGTACAACATGCGGACATGATATCCTTTTTACAAACACCATTAGAACAAATCACTGTCTTCATTAAGAGAATGTAACTATATATCTGTCCCAACCACTTTGAATACACAGATACAAAATGGACATTTATCTGTATACCCTTTTTTGTTAAGTTCCGTTATTTGAATATTATAGGTGTGTAAACTCAGCAAAATATTCTAAAAGAGTCCAGTAGCCCTTAATAGTATCGGGTCTTCCACTTGATTGGCAATGTCAGAAATTGTTGACCTGAGTCCCCTACAGCTCAACATAACACCATGGCTTTAATTTTTATATTTCGTTTTTATACTTTTCTGATGGATGGTTAAGAACAAGGTAAAGCAGGACCTATGCAACAGAGTTGTAGCTTTTGGGTCTGATAAGGTCAGTGAAAT